CATTTCATTGAGGATACCATCAACACCACAGGCCTTTTTGGGTTGGAGGGTTTGTATTTTGTCCTGTAGTTCATTCAATGTAATTGGAGAATCCAGTGGGTTCTGGTAGTCTTTAATAGTTGATTCTAAGATTTGCATTTGATCATGTATATTTTTTTGCTGTTTGTTCTTTGTTATAGGGACAAAAAGATTGGAGAAGTGGTTTACCCATACATCTCAGTTTTGGATAGTTAGCTCTTCGTGTTGTTGTTTGTTTAGTGTTTTCCAATTTTCCCAGAAGTGGTTAGAGTCTGGATTCTTCAATTACATGGAGCTGATTTCTGACATGCTGTTCCTTCTTTTTCCATAGTGTATTTCTGTATTGTTTTAGTGATTCACCATAGTGAAGGCGTAGGCTCAGGTTCTCTGGGTCTCAATGTTTTTGGTTGGATAGGTTTCTCAATTTCTTTCTTAGGTTTTTGCATTATTCATCAAACCATTTGTCACTGTTACTTTTCTTCGGTTTTCTGTTAGAGATTTTTTAGATTTGATAGGGAAGCTGAGAGGTCAAATATACTGTTTAGGTTTTCTACTGCCAAGTTTACACCTTCACTATTACAGTGGACATTTTTTTCCAGGAAGTTGTCTAAAAGGGATTGAATTTGTTGTTGCCTAATTGTTTTTTGGTAGGTTTCGACACTACTTTCCTTCCATCTATAGCATTTCTTAATATTATTCAGTTCCTTTGGCTTTGATGCCTCATGATTAAGTATTGCTCTGTTCAAGTAGACTGTGATTTTGCTGTGGTCTGATATGGGTGTCAGTGGGCTGACTGTGAATGCTCTGAGAGACTCTGGGTTGAGGTCAGTGATAAAGTAGTCTACAGTACTACTGCCAAGAGATGAGCTATAGGTGTACCTACCATAGGAGTCCCCTCGAAGCCTACCATTGACTATGTACATACCCCGCAGGTCTGGGAGAGTGTCTCGCTGGTCTGGGCGGGGTGTCTGTTGATCTGTTGCTCCTGTGTGAGGTGTTGGGTCTGCGGTTGAGGGCGATATCCTTTAGGGTCCGGGCGAAGGTGGACACTGCTGCCCTGTATAGGTGGATTTGGTCGTAAAGGCTGTTCACATCCAGGGTGGAGTGGTTGGCCAGGTAGACATTTAGTTTTGATGCACAGTCACGGGAAATACTTGCGTTTACCTGCTGTATGGTAGCAGGGTGGAAGTATTCTCTCTCTCTCTGTCTCTCTGTCTCTGTCTCTGTCTCTGTCTCTGTCTCTCTCTCTGTCTCTCTCTCTCTCTCTCTCTCCCTCTCCCTCTCCCTCTCCCTCTGTGATTGACAGTGACTGTGTATTGGGGTCTAGCGTGTGGACAGTGACTGGAGAGTGTAATGGGCGGGTGATGAGCTGTGAAGGTGATGGAGGGTGTCTGGGTGAGGGGGCGGAGGAGAGGAGCAGGTACTGCTGATGTGAGGAGGTGAAGAGAGGAGGGGAATGGGGGTGGAGGTGCCAGCCAGGTAGAGCAGCTATCCTTTTATCTGGAGTTTGGTTTCACACAGCCTAGCACAGTATGTCTGGAAGAAATACAGAGAGAGAGAGAGAGGGGGAGAAAACGTGTTTGTGAGTGTGCTCTGTGTGTGCCCATTGTTTGTTCTCTGTGTATAAGTGTGTGCGTGCAGAGAGAGCTAGAGAGACTGTGCTCTTGCATCTCTCATTCAAAGTGGGACTGTGCCGTTGCCATGCATAATGAGCAGCTTTAGTCTAGCAGTGAAATCTACATACATTCAACAGTTTCATATCCCTTCTGTTTTTCTTGCATATATGATAAAGAACAAAAGTGTTTATATTACCCTTAGTACCTGATTGGCTACTTTAATCATCTCACAATAGGATTCCCTTGCATTTAATTGGACCTTAGAAACACTGTTGCATAGCGTGATCATTTGTGTCTTTCCTCACTATTCCTCTTCCTCTCTGGCCACCTGTTTTTGCTCTTGTTTCATATCAACATCATCAACCTACACAGCATCTGCATCCCCACCGCTTCCTCCATCAACACAGACTCTGCAGATATTTGTATCTTCATTAGACTAATGTTAGGTCTCTTGTCAGCATTTTAAATGAGTCCTCTGTTTACATTTTCTCTCCAATTCCCCACTGGCAGGGTAGAGAACTCAATATAACACTGACTGAACCTAGCAGCAGCGTGCGTGCGTGCGTGCGTGCGTGCGTGGGCGGCGTGCGAACATGTATGGCGTCTCTTCCGACATTATTCATTTAGACTTAGGGAAGTTTCCCAGCAGGTTATTTATACTGTATCGTCTGCCAATCGTTTCTCTTACATCTCCAGACAGAGCAATTCCCAAGAGATGTTGCTGTGTGTTTGTGTGTTCTGTTTGTTCCCTTGTATTTCATTTTGAGAGCTGTCCATAAACTCTCTCCCAGGGCTGCAACAGTGTTCGGTGCTCAGCACAGCTTTGACCTGTGAGTTGAACAGTTAGACAAACAGACACTAGAGAGAGATTCTTCTTGAAGTGGGGGTTGGTTGCCCATGATATATGGCAGAGAGGGGGGAAACGGAGAGAGAAAGGGAGAGAGAGAAATGAAAAGACAGAGAGAGAAAGAAAGCTTTTCCTTTGAGGCAGGCCTTCTCTTATCCTGGCTGACGCACGACCCATTTGACTACACAGGACGTAGAGAAACTGGTGGTAGCAAGACTTTCCCTAGACTTTCTGACATGATTGCCAGCCTGATATTATCATGAAATTGCAGGGGATAGGCATTGAATAGGGCAGTTAAGGGACTAGTTCACGCATATATATGCCAGGGTTGGATGTGTACAGTAGCTAGGTCACGTGGGTTTTGAATGCAAAGGACATAATACACATAGAAAGTACATCAAACATTCATTATGAACTGGAGCCTTGCGCATTACTATGCATAAAGCGAACTGGAAGTACTGTATGTTAATTTTGGCGTTGCTTCAGAAATATAAGCTGTGGACCTCTCAGCTAATATTAAAATAGAGGTTAACAAGGAATTCTCTTTGGCTGCGTCCCAAATGGCACCCTATTCTATCTATGGTGAACTGCTTTTGACCACGGCCCATATGCACTATAAAGGGAATAGAGTGCTATTTGGGAAGATCAGCACAGAGGCTTGATTAGATAAGCTCTAATTGAGACATGTTCTAGCACGGTGCAGGCAGCAGGCTACGCCAACCATAGTAATAGAATCTAGATTTCATTACTATGACGCCAACGCTTCTTTCCTCTGAGTTAACATGCTCTGTACAAACGCATGACGCACTGCACCGCACCTTATGGTAGCTACGTAGGGAGCACTGCACTGACAGGTGTGTCAAACCAAACAGCCTCTCCACTTCAATTCTCAATCCTCATAGACTCAGATGAGCAACAGTAGTCAAAAGATTTGACACGGCTAGAAACACACACTTGACACAAACAAGCACACACACACTTCTATGCTCAATAACACGTACAAAGGAACACTGGGTAACTATCTGTCTTTATGACTCACACGCTCTCTTTGGACAAACTGTTTTCATCTCCTATTCCCTGAGAAACAGAAGCGTAAGCTCTGCTAGCAGCAGACAGACGGACAGAGAGAGAGAGAGAGAGAGTGTGTGTGTGTGTGTGCCGGTGTGCATTCGCACGCACAGTGCAGGGAGCTGTGTCTGTGGTGGATCAATGGTGTGTCTGCCTATACTGTCTGTTCTTTTAGATTCAGACAGAGAGGACAACGCTCTCCTCTCTCTGCTAGCTCTTCTTCCTCCAGTCACCTCTATGGTGTCTCTGTGACAGATACTTCACCACAGCACCATCCATAACACCTAACTCATGATGTATTATCATCAATATCTCGGGCCTGAGGAGCAGGTTGGCATTTATTGTCATGAATCTTGCCCTGGAGGCAGCTCTGCAGTGGTCACTAGCTAGGACAGCCACAAAGTCATAACATCTGATTTTAAATCTAATCCTAACCTTAACCCTAAATTTAACCACACTGCTAATCCTAATGCCTTGACCTAACCTTAAATTAAGACCAAAAAATACATTGTTTTCATGACATTTTACGATAATAGCCCATTTTGACTTTAAGCAGATGGCCCATCTAGCAGGAATTGTTCAGTTCTGCCTCCAGCACAAGATTCATGACAATAAAAGTCAACCTGCACATGGGGAGCTCATCAGTCAGTTAGGGTACATGTACTTATTTAGGTAATCAATGCAAGTTGGAGAGACAGAGAGACAGGATACAGGAGTGATGGCTTGGACATGTGTTCATTTATCAGTCATGCAGGAACAGCTTGGTCAATAGAGCTGATAAGGAATGAATGATAGTCACGTCATGTATGTGGGGTAAGGATGCTGTGTGTATAATCCTGTGTGTGTGTGTGTGTGTGTGTGTGTGTGTGTGTGTGTGTATGTGTGCATTGCATGCATAGGTGTGTGTGTGTGTGTGTGTGTGTGTGATGTGTGTGTATGTTAAGCCCAGCACCCGTACTGACAATGAGCCAGAGGCAGGCTGGTGTGACGACATCATCAATAGGCCCTGTAAAGGTACTTAATCAGATAAGGAGCCAGGAGATTGGCTGGTGATAAGGCTGCTGGGTTAACTGGCTCAGTCCCAATGTGGAATAGACTTTGAATTGACGTCTGTGCCCAGTGGGTTACCGCTAACAACCTTACATGAAACCCAACTAAAAAAATGGGATTTCACAAATTAATCTTTCCCATGTGAGTGCTAATGTCCTTTTGTGCTGTTGGTTTTCCATGAAATGGTATTGCACACGGATGGCCTTGTGAGCTCTCCAAACAGTTATACAGCACTACTTGTTTATGGAACTACCTGTTTTATGGAAACGACTTGGTAATGGAAAATTGCTTGTTTGTCCTATTGGGGAACAACTGTTATTGTACCTGTTAAATCCCTAACGTGTTGGTATCTGTTGTGAATCCTCCTCTTGCTCTCCTCCCTCCTCTTTCCCTCCCTGCAGCTCCAGCGTCTGAAGCGCTCCCTCTCCTTTAAGACCCTGATGCGCAGTAAGAGTGTGGAGAACTTCTTCCAGAGGTCCTACAGCGACGCCCGTCTCCCCCCAGACTTCATCACCGACCCACCACCCCCCTCCCCGCCCCCTGGCTCTCCCCTCGCCAGTGAACGCTCACCCTCCCTCTCTCCGTCACTCAGCCCTAACCCCTCCCTCTGCTCCCACTCTCCGTCTCTAAGCCCCTCCCCCTCGCTGTCCTCCAAGGCCCCGCCCCCGGCCCGCCCCTGACGCAGGTGACCCACTGCTTCCAGGAGCACGTTTTCCGCAAGCCCACCCACTGCCAGCTCTGCAAGCACCTGATCGTGGGTAAGGTGCCTACTTTACTCCCAGGCCTCTCGACACTACCAACCTGGTTAGGCCTCAGTGTCTATGTAGTGTTAGTTGCTTCATTCAGCCATTTATCCGGGTTGCTTGATCTTGTATTTCTAGCTGGTCAGTAATACTACTTTATTAGGTCACTGCCACTATCCATTACACTAGAATCCACTTGACTACTAAGTGAACAGACTTCAAAGGCAGCACTTGACTAGGTAGCTAATGACTGGAATAATTAGTTGAATTTACTCACATAATTTAATTCCTATTCAATAGTAATAACAAAGTAATATTGATAACAGTGAAGCAAACATTAGGTGGACTATAATTGGAATTTATGCAGGAGAATAGCAGAGGTACCATAGAAATGGTATTTCACTCCGCTCATGTGTGTATCCTTGGTTTTCGGACATAAAACATACAGTATGGTTGGATTGAGAAGCTGAGGGCAAGTCTAGTTAGTGTGTTCACGTGCCCTTGATTTGATATGCTGCTGCGTGTGTAGAGGTCCCTTAACATTCTCATACTCTTTTCCTCTTTGCTAAATCTACTTCCTGTCACCATGATTGATTGCAAAAGCTATTAGTGCTTGTGTTTGCTTACATCATCGTTTTTTCTTCAACGCACCAGCTGATCCAGCTGTCCTGTAGCCTGCCTCATCGCTCCCAGTCTCTCCTCTCTCTCCCCAGTCTCTCTGTCGCTCTGTCTCTCCTCTTCTCTCCAGATTAAGATAGTCTTCTGTCGAAAGATAGAAGTACAGTCTCTATCTCTACCAGTTCTAGTCTCTCCTATCTTCAATCTCTACTCTATCACAGTATCTTCTCTCCAGTCTTCCTCTCTCTCCCAGTCTCTCCTCTCTCTCTCGCCTCTCTCTCCCAGTCTCTCCTCTCTCTCCCAGTCTCTCCTCTCTCTCCCAGTCTTCTCCTTTCTCGTCTCATTCTCTCCAGTCTCTTCTCTCTCTCTCTCAGCTCTCTCTCTCTCACAGTCTCTCCTCCTCTCCTCTCCCAGTCTCTCCTCTCTCTCCAAGGTCGTCCTCGCTTCTCCTCCCAGGTCTCTCTCTCTCCAGTTCTCTCCCTCTCTCTCCTCCCAAGTCTCCTCTCTCTCTTCTCTCTCCCAGTCTCCTCTCTCTCCCAGTCTCCTCTCTCTCCCAGTCTCATCTCTCTCTCCCAGTCTCTCCTCTCTCTCCCAGTCTCTCCTCTCTCTATCCCAGTCTCTCCTCTCTCTCCCAGTATGTCCTCTCTCACTCCAACTCTCCACTCTCTCCCAGTCTCCCAGTCTCGAGTCTCTCCTCTCGCTCTCCCAGTCTCTCCTCTCTCTCTCCATCTCTCCTCTCTCTCCGTCTCTCCTCTCTTTCCCAGTCTCTCCCAGTTTCTCCTCTCTCTCTCCCAGTCGCTTCCCTCTCTCCCAGTCTCTCCTCTCTCTCCCACTCTCCTCTCTCTCCCAGTCTATCCTCTCTCTCTCCCAGTCTCTCCTCTCTCTCCCAGTCTCCTAGTGCAGTTTGTAACTGAGCTAGAGCAAATAGAAGATTCAGTTCAATTAATGTTTTTTTGGTTTGTGTTTCCACGTCTTTGTCATGGATTGGTAATCATAGGGCTCTAGACTAAATCCTTCTAAACAATATGTTTGGCACCAGTGAATAAGTAAACCTTTAACTGGAAATAAATTGTTTGGATGACTCAACAATGCAGCTGAATGTCTTAGGGATTATCTTCTCTCTCTCCAACATATAAAAGAAAAACGCAAAGCTAATTATATCAAGAAAAAGGACAAAGAACATTTATCCACTCTAACTACGCTTGTTTCTAAGACAGTGCTTGATAAGAATTGGTGTGACTAAAAAACAAATAGAACCCAAATGCCTCCAGCTGGTTGTGAGTCTCTCCATGTTTTGAGAAGGACCGTTGATGATGCACTGCTTAGTTCAGCAGGCAGTGCCAGCACAATAGAAATAGGGCAGTGCTTGATCAACCCTCTCTGGGTGACTGAGATGAGATTTACATCAAACAGGAACCTGCTCTGATCACATGCCAACCTTATTTATTACTACATTCTGTCTCTTCCTCACAGGTGTCTGTCCTTGTTTTAACTCTCCTCTTTCCTCTTTTCTTTTTACCTCTCTATCTCTCTACACCAAACCTCTCTCTCTCTCTCTAACCCCCACACTCTCTCTCTCTCTCTCTCTCTCTCTCTCTCTCTCTCTCTCTCTCTCTCTCTCTCTCTCTCCTCTCTCTCTCTCTCTCTCTCTCTCTCTCTCTGTCTGTAGGTAACTCTAAACAGGGTCTTCGGTGTAAAACCTGTAAGATGGGCGCTCACCTGTGGTGCACCTCAGAATTGTCCCAGCAGCCATGCAATGGAAAGGTATGTCCGTCCGTCCGTCCGCCCCCCCCCCCCCCCCCCCCCTTCCCACTGCCCCTTCCCCACACACACTCCCCCTGCAGTACTGGCCCCAAGGCTGAGTTAGTGCTTCTCAAGGTCCTGCCCATGTATGCAGTAAAAAAGTGCTAACAGTATGGGTACATATAAGGAATGGGCAGTGAGTATGCACCTGTGTTTTTGTGTGTGTGCGTGCGTATGCATTTGTGCGTACGCGTACAGCTGTGTGTGCATAGATACTGCTGATGCTGGATTTTGTCCATCTTCTCCAAGTCATTAAGGTTTCGAGGCTGACGTCTGGCAACTCGAACCTTCAGCTCCCTCCACAGATTTTCTATGGGATTAAGGTCTAGAGACTGGCTAGGCCACTCCAGGACCTTAATGTGCTTCTTCTTGAGCCACTCCTTTGTTGACTTGGCCGTGTGTTTTGGGTCATTGTTATGCTGGAATACCCATCCACAACCTATTTTCAATGCCCTGGCTGAGGGAAGGAGGTTCTCACCCATGATTTGACGGTACATGGCCCCGTCCATCGTCCCTTTGATGCGTTGAAGTTGTCCTGTCCCCTTAGCAGAAAAACACCCCCAAAGCATAATGTTTCCACCTCCATGTTTGACGGTGGGGATGGTGTTCTTGGAGTCATAGGCAGCATTCCTCCTCCTCCAAACACGGCGAGTTGAGTTGATGCCAAAGAGCTCCATTTTGGTCTCATCTGACCACAACACTTTCACCCAGTTCTCCTCTGAATCATTCAGATTTTCATTGGCAAACTTCAGACGGGCCTGTATATGTGCTTTCTTGAGCAGGGGGACCTTGCGGGCGCTGCAGGATTTCAGTCCTTCACGGCATAGTGTGTTACCAATTGTTTTCTTGGTGACTATGGTCCCAGCTGCCTTGAGATCATTGACAAGATCCTCCCGTGTAGTTCTGGGCTGATTCCTCACCGTTCTCATGATCATTGCAACTCCACGAGGTGAGATCTTGCATGGAGCCCCAGGCCGAGGGAGATTGACAGTTATTTTGTGTTTCTTCCATTTGCGAATAATCGCACCAACTGTTGTCACCTTCTCACCAAGCTGCTTGGCGATGGTCTTGTAGCCCATTCCAGCCTTGTGTAGGTCTACAATCTTGTCCCTGACATCCTTGGAGAGCTCTTTGGTCTTGGCCATGGTGGAGAGTTTGGAATCTGATTGATTGATTGCTTCTGTGGACAGGTGTCTTTTATACAGGTAACAAGCTGAGATTAGGAGCACTCCCTTTAAGAGTGTGCTCCTAATCTCAGCTCGTTACCTGTATAAAAGACACCTGGGAGCCAGAAATCTCTCTGATTGAGAGGGGGTCAAATACTTATTTCCCTAATTAAAATGCAAATCAATTTATAACATTTTTGACATGCGTTTTTCTGGAGTTTTTTGTTGTTATTCTGTCTCTCACTGTTCAAATAAACCTACCATTAAAATTATAGACTGAGCATTTCTTTGTCAGTGGGCAAACGTACAAAATCAGGAGGGGATCAAATACCTTTTCCCTCACTGTAGATGCCATTGGTATGTAGGGGAAGTCAGGTCCCTGAACAACATTGTTTGAAATTCACTGAGAAATTCAGGAGCTGTTGAATGGAGAATAAAATACTGTACTGAGAAGTTGAGAGGGAGTGTGTGAGAGAGGGAGGGAGGGAGAGAGAGATATGGAAGGATTATCTACGATGAGCCAGAATATCTTTGAAAGGAACAAAGAAACGCCATTCATCCCTGTTACTTTGCCCCTGTATAATGACAGTGCTAATAGCTCATCTCAATGTCAGCACACAGGGAAATCAATATCTCCATTGAAACAGTCCCTGTGCCTAATTCAGTGTGAAACTGTTTGTGTGTTCTGTGTGCAGTTGTGATAGTGTAGGTAGGCTGTGTGCTTGTGTGTGTGTGTGTGTGTGTGTGTGTGTGTGTGTGTGCGTGCGTGTGTGGGTTGCGCGTGTTGAGACCCCTGCAGCAGGTTTAATTGATTTACAATTAAGCCAGAGAAAACACAGTGACGTTAGCAATCTTGTTTCTTTCAAGATACTCATGTATTGACTTTTGGCAGACAGTTGCTGCTAAGTCCGCCCTATCTCATCCTCTCTCTCTACTTCAATTACTGTAATGTAATTCCATAAATTAGCTGAATAAAAAAACCAGCAACACAGGCTATAAAAATGAATGAATTTAAACAGAAAATCCTGATTATTATCCCTCCTCTGTGTGTGTTAGTCTGGGGTCGGGGCATTCAAACGGAACTTCAGCTCTCCCATGCTGGTCAACGAACAACTGGCTGTCGTCAAAGAGGTGCAGCCCACCCAAGGTGAGCATGCCCGGTAAAGAAAGTGTGTGTGGATTTGTGTATCTGCATCCAGGTGTGGGGTGTCGTGCATGAATACATTTGTGTATTCTGCACATTTACATTTACATTTTAGTCATTTAGCAGACGCTCTTATCCAGAGCAACTTACATGAGCAATTAGGGTTAAGTGCCTTGCTCAAGGGCACATCGACAGATTTTTCACCTAGTCGGCGCGGGGATTAGAACCAGCGACCTTTCGGTTACTGGCACAACGCTCTTAACCACCAAGCTACCTGCCGCCCCACATGTCCATCTGCATGTGTGTGTCCCATCCTAGCACCCCGAGGAAGTGGATGTGATTATTGTCCTTCACCCTATAGAATAGATCCATATGAATAAGGGTCAGCTCTCATTCCACCTGCTGTCCCTTCCTTCTTTCCTTGTTTCCTTCCTCCAGCCATCCATCCGTGTTCAGTTAACCTGCCCCCTCACTTCCACCACCATAACCCCAGGTCTGTCACTGACGTCTGGGCTTCTGACCAAAAATGGGACCCTATCCCCTTGGCACTGTCAAAAGTAGTGCACTATAAAGGGAATAGGGTGCCATTTGGGACACAACCTTGGGTCTGGTTCTGAGCCAAGGCAGGCTGGGAATATCACCTGTCATCACACACATCAGGTCAGACAGAACAGCCCATCTGGCTTCCATTACAGTGACTGTTGAGCAGGGAAATGACTGGTTTAGTTTTAGTTAATTCTAGGTTTAAATTGATGGAGCTCTACCTGGAATAGAGAACCAGTCCCAACTCGCTCTGACTGAAACTCTGAAAAAACATGAACTCAATACAGCCTCCACCACTAATGCTTCAATTTCATCTCACAAAACATTGAAACGACAATGTACTTCCTGAAAATACCAATGTACAAACTTGTAAAGAGCCTACTGGTGCCCCTCTGTCAGATCTTAAGTATGTCACTGTCTGTCTGGGACTGTGTCATTAAAGCTATATTTAGAGCTCTGGACAGGGCCTCCCTTAATGGCAGTTATGATGGCAGTTATACGTATGATCCCAATCTGTGATGCTGCTTCTAAGAGGTTGTGTGTGTGTGTGTGCCTGCTTGCACTCGTGTGTGTCTGTGCGTGTGTCCCTGTAAAGGTTTTAATATATGTGATTTTTCAGGGGCAGGCCGGGGGCGTGGTGTGGACCCTATTTACGCAGCCCTGCGCTATGGGACGTCCCTGGCCCAGATGAGCCGCTCCAGTTTTGGGAGCATGTCCGAGTCGCCCACGCACAGCCAGGTATGACGTCACCACCTGTACCATGGGGACACAGCCTGTTAATTAGTGACTCTATAGATGGTGGCTTCATCTTCATGTGACCCTGTATCGATCTTCACATGTTCCATCACCTGCATGTGAGCCTATTTATTTTGTTCTGTTGTGGTTCCGTACAACAGGAAGGCTGATAAAAAATAAAAATAAATGATTAACCCTTATTTTACCAGGTAAGTTGACTGAGAACAGATTCTCAGGCTCTGAGTCATAGAGATATACTGTAGCTGAGAATTATAGTTTAAGGGAGGGAGAATGGCTGGTATATGTTTATGACAGAGAAAACTACAGAAACACATTGTACATCCTGAATAATTGAAAAGAACAGGGTTTAGTGTTTTACTCGATGTGTCCCGAGTTTGTCCTCTCTCACACTGTTCCATCTTTTCCTCTATGATTTGTTTTCTTAAAATCCTCTCTTTTTTTATTATCTGTTTCTCAGGGGGAAGGAGGAGAGGAGGGGGGGCAGAGGCAGTACAGCATGGAGGAGGAGATGCCACAGGAGACGGGGGGTAAGAACGTGTGTGTGTGTGTGTTTGCATGCATGTGTGTGCCCTCATGTATTTGTGTGTGTGTGTGTCTTGAGAATGTACATGCTTGCTTGTGTGTGGTGACGTGTCCTGTCTGACCTGATCGTTCAGGCTGAGTGACCCATCTCCTCTGTCTGTCAGATCTGCCTCAGTGTGAAAACGAGAAGACTGAACCGGAGGATGGGGGCAGTGAGCAGCTCCAGGAGCCTGTGGAGGAAACCAGTGTGAAGGTAGACACACACAGTCCTTTTCCGGCTAGCTGACCTTATGTTCAGAGACGCTATATTTAACTGAAACATTTCCGTCTGTATTCCTTCTCCCTGTCTGCCTCCATCCAGGTGCCCAAGCGTATTGAGGTTCACTCTATCCACACTTATGTAGCGCTCTACAAGTTCCTGCCTCAGGAGCACAACGACCTCGGACTAGAGTGAGTGAACGAATGGGGTCTGTTTGTGTGTTTGTGGGTTTGTGTGTGCCCTTCAGTGCATGTGTGTCCTTCCCAGTATTTTACTGCATCTGTCATTTCTTCAAGATTAAAACGTCCTTACCATCTGTAGAAGGGACAATGTGAAGGAACCCTTAAGGAGGTGCAGCCTGCTAATTATAAAACACAACGACCATCACCGCCCACAAATACACACAGCCCGCTTTGGGGGGATGAATAAAGACACTGAAAATGAATTAGAGATGAAAGCATGAGGAGAAATATGGAGGGACTCGATAGAGAGAACAGCTTGAAACAGACATGAGCACAGGGGGAGAGGAAAGAACAGCGTGGTGGGGGAAGGGAGAGATGAAAGAGAAGCAAAGAATGTCAGCAGAACAGAGAAGAGGGTAGAAGGGAGTGAGAGGAAGAGGAGGAAGGAAAGGGATGAGGGAGGAAAGATAGGAGTATAAAGATCAGGATGTGTGTTAGGGAGAGGAGAAGAGCTGTGGGTGCAGGTAAAAAAGAGGTACATCGCCATGGGGATGGTTCACAGCCATCTGGTGTCTCACGTGTGTGTGTGTGTGTGTGTGTGTGTGTGTGTGTGTGTGTGTGTGTGTGTGTGAGAGAGACAGGCCAGGACGATCAAATAGGGCAGCAGGGAGAGCAGAGCAGACACCCAAGGGACTGCATATAGAGAATTTGTGTAATGGGGACAGTACAGTAGCTCTGTGTATATAGGACAGTACAGTACACTAGCTCTGTATATAGGACAGTGGATACTGGATAGTCTGTGTACATCAGTCTGATTAATGTTTATGCGTTTGTGAGTGGTTGTGTGCTTGTTGTCACGAACCGGCTCAAGTTCGTAACAAAAGGGAGACACGTGGAGACAAGGAATACTCAAAGTATATATTTATTAACTAAAGTAAACTAAATCAAATAACAATGGTGTGTGTAATCAGTAATCAGTAGTGTAAGTGAGTGTTTGCATGCATAAATGTAATATGGAAAGGTGTTGAAAGGTGCCAAAGCAACAACCAAAAAGCCACAAAAATACCACAACCAAAGTCAAAGTATCTGCCTGGAGAGAGTCTCCCCCATGAATGTGGAAGAGGTCCATTTATGCTGGGACACACCCAGCCCAGGTGTTTCCCATGTAGCTGACGACCCTCCCAACTCCGCCCACCGGCATCCTAATAAGGAAACAAGAGCAAAGAGAGAATACGGCAGACAGAGTGGGAGGTCGTCACACCCCCCTCCCCCATAAAACCGGGGACCAACAAGGACCCCGGAACCAACGTACCAGCCCCTGCGTCCCAAACCGACAAATTGTACATGTTCACACCTCCACTTGCCCCAACCATCATCCTCCTCCCCAGACCTCAGCATCCTTTACACACAGGAAGCAACCTTTAATAGGAAAGAAGAACACAAGACTAGGAAGGGACAAACAGGAAAGATAGAACATGACAAAACCAAACAATGGTCAGTCACATCAATATTCAGGAACAGGGCGCACGAGAGAGCGCATCAGCAATTACGTTATCAGTCCCCCGGATGTGCCGCTCATCTAGATGGAAGGATTGTAAAAATAAATACCATCTCATTATCCTCTGATTAGGACACCTCATGGACCTCAAAAAGGTGAGAGGGTTATGGTCGGTGTAGACCACAATAGGTATTACTCCCGACCCGACATACACTTCAAAGTGTTGTAGCGCCCATATGAGTGCTAATGCTTATTTTTCAATGACCGAATAGTTCAGCTGATAATGGTTAAACTTTTTGGAAAAGAAACTAACAGGCCTCTCAACCCCAGCCACATCTGCTTGCAGCAAAACTGCACCTGCCCCCACATGACTAGCATCCACCTGCAAGGTAAATGACAAATCCACACGAGGAGCAGCCAGTACCGGAGTTGAGGTTAAGCAACCTCTTTGCATCTTCAAAAGCCTGTTGACAACGAGAAGACCATACGTACACAGCCTTAGCTTTCAGCAAATCTGTCAAGGGAGCGACCACAGTAGAGAAGTTCCTACAAAAACCACGATAATACCCAATCATTCCCAAGAAACGCATCAGTTCCTTTTTAGTAGTTGGTGGTGGAAAAGCTTCAATAGCTACCACTTCAGCACGAACAGGACGCACTTCACCCTGCCCAACCACCTTTCCAAGGTATGTAACAGTCGCCTGAGCAAACTCACATTTAGCCAAATTTATCGTGAGGCGACCCGCAGCCAGACGTCCGAACAAGGCTTGAATACGGGACAGATGTTCCTCCCAAGTATCTGCATATATCACTACATCGTCCAGATAAACAGCGCACCCGGCCAGACCAGAGACAACCCTGTTCATAAGTCGCTGAAAAGTGGCAGGCGCATTACGCAGGCCGAAACTCATAACCGAATACGAGTACAGACCAAAAGGTGTAATAAAGGCAGAGATTTCACGTGCCCTACTCGTCAGTGGCACCTGCCAATAGCCCTTTAACAGGTCAAATTTGCTCACAAACTTAGCTGCGCCGACTTGATCAACGCATTCCTCCATCCGAGGAAGAGGAAATGAATCTGGCTTAGTGACATCGTTTACCTTATGGTAGTCCATACAAAATCTGTTTGTTCCATCCGATTTACTGACCAAGATACAGGGAGAAGCCCAACTGGAGAAAGAAGGCTCTGCTATTTTACTCTCCAGCATGTACCTGACCTCAGCATCCAGACAACGCAGTTTCTCTGAAGAAACTCTATAGAACTGTTGACGAATGGGGTCAGCATCTCCAATGTCAATATCATGTTCTATTAAGTTTGTACGTGTAGGTGTATCAGAAAACAACCCTGGAAATCTCCGAATCAGAGCAACCATCTCTTTCCGCACATCAACAGGTAGATGAGTAAGAAGGCTATCTAAAATCTCCAGTGTCTCTGAATTTTTCAATCTACCCTGCAGTATGCAATCGTCGGGACCAGGAACATCTTCCTGCTCCTGCACAGACCTAGCATGACCAGAACCCAGGGAATAAACAGTATCAGCCAAAAGAACAGCCTTACCATCCTCTGTAGACTCCCACTGTTCAGTCTCAGAGGAACGTGCATAATAGGGTTTTAACAAATTGACATGGCACAGTTGGTGTTCTGGAGTGGCAACTAGATCATTTTGCTCAGTGTACTGGCACACCACTGTATATGGACCTTGAAACTTGGCTTGAAAAGGAGAACCAACAATTGGCAGCAGAGCCAGAACCTGATCACCTGGACTAAAGTGACGAGGCTCAGCTCGTCGATCATATATGCTCTTCATCCTGTCCTGTGAAGATGATAGCTTCTCTTTAGCCATTTCACCCCCCCAAAAAATCATGATAATAATGTTTTTTCTTTAAATGGTTATGACGGTTATTTTATTTTCATGTCGCTCTTCATCCTTAAACGTCGGTTACACGCTTATACGGTCATTGTGCCAGCTGTATGTTGTGCATGCATGTCTGCGTGTGCGTTTGGTTTTCTTTATGGTCTGTGAGTTGTGAGTTATTCTGTATGTATAAAGTGTGTGTGTGTGTGTGTGTTTGCACAGGTATGTGCGTGCATACATACGTGGGTGCGTGCGTCCAGGCATGCGTGTGTCTGTATGAGAGAGAAAGATGGAGAGGTAGCAAGACAGAGTTACTGTTTTTCAGACACCGTGCTTACAACCAAGATACCTATATGTACTGTATGGACTGCAATACCCCCAGCTATGACAATACAGTTATGACTACATTTATTGCAGAAAATAAAAATATATTTCTCTCCAGTATAATTATGTTTGTCATTGCTGGACTGTTAGCGGCTGCAGTATCATTGCCAATAAATAGCAAGGGCAAATAATTTTTATAGTAGGTGCCAATGATTGGAACTATTACTCCAGTTACACATCCAAAGATTGGTGCTATTTTAAACATTGTGTGTAGGCATCAAAGTCACCTGTTCCTTACCTACATTTTATTCATTTAGCAGACGCTCTTATCCAGAGCAATTAGGGTTAAGTGCCTTAATCAAGGGCACTTCGACAGATTTTTCACTTAGTCGGCTCTGGGGACTCGAACCAATGACGTTTCAGTTACTGGCCCAACGCTCTTAACCGCTAGGATACCTGCCGCCACCTCTATGAGTCATGGGAGGGGAGTTAATCCCCAAGTGAGTACAGTACTCAGTCTATAGTCCCTATACTCTGTGGTCACATTTGTTTGAAATCCTGCACACACTCTCCCTATATGGTTCTCTTCTCTTTTTTCAATGCTGGCTTTCATGTACTCTCTCCCCTGCTTTTTCTCCCTCCCCCCCCCCCCCCCTTCCCTTATCTTCCTCTCTTTCTTTCTCTCTCTCAGGCCTGGTGATCGGGTGCTGGTCACTGATGATTCTAATGAAGAGTGGTGGAAGGTGGGCAATTAATAATCTACACCACTGTAAATGTTTTTGGCCTCTCCTAAACATCCAGGCAGTCAGAAATAGAAACATGATTTCCTCAGAAAATCACTTTAAGAGGGAAACATAGTTACATTCATTATCGTTGTGACCTGAAAGAGCTTTTTATTCAGTTGGTAATGAGCTTCAGTCACTCTCAATGTTCTGGATCTGGTTGCTTTCAGTCTCTGTCAGAGAGGTGCAAGGCTCAGTAATAACCCTTCAGTGCCTAATACTCAGCTTAGAGCACAGAACACTGGTACAGAAACACATACACTCACTTCACAACAATACTAAAACACTAAAAATCATACACATCCAGGCAAAGTAAATTAGAACATAATTGTGAACACCCAACTCCAAACAAGTATTTGTCACCATGGATACAGAACTGTATTTATTTATTTGAGAATATGTCATATTTACTCTACGTGTCATATGTGTGACAGGGGAAGAGTGGAGACAAGGTGGGCTTCTTCCCTGCTAACTTCGTCCAGAGGGTGCGCCCAGGGGAGAGGGTGTGGAGGGTCACCCAGCCTGTCTCTGCCAGCCGAGGGATGGGCCACATGCCAGTGAAGGAGGATCAGGTGAGACATTCATTTTGTCTCATCTTTCTTACTTTGCCCTGTAGTTGTGCCAAAACCATAAATGTCTTGTCTGCTTCCACTGCTTTTCTATTTGAACCTTCCTAAACAACCTTGTCTCTTTTTACCTCTCTCTCTCCCTCCCCCCTCCTCTTCCTCTCTCTCTCTCTCTCTCTCTCTCCACCCCCCCCCCCCTCTCTCCCCCTCTCTGAACCCCTCTCTCTCTCTCTCTCCCTCTCTGTCAGATCTGTGTGGGGAAGAGTGAGGACAGTGAGGGTTTCCTGAAGCTGAGCAGTGGGAAAAAGAGAGGACTGGTCCCTGCTGAATCCATTGAGGAGATCTAACCTCTGTCTCAGTACCAGCCCCCCGTCTCTCTCTCTGTCCAGCACCCTGTAACCTCCCCACACACCCCTTTAAGGCCTGAGGAGGACCAGCCAGTCCGGGGGCATACTATCGCCCCTCCAATACCACCATCGTGAGGCCCACCACCCTACTAAACTGAGTGGGGAACAGTGACAGTTAAGCTTGTGAATTACAGGTGATGTGGAGGATGCCCCAGCCTTATCCTTGCTGACCTTGTCTCCTACACCCCAAAGTAGCTGACAACCAGGACTTGAAAGGGTTGGTTTCCCTTCCACAGTAGGTTGGCCTAGGTGTTGTGGAGGACCAGCCAAGCCCCCAATGCCCCATGTTTTCCTGCTGTAATGTACATTAGTGTATTAGTGAACTGGGTTTATCTGTAGTCCACACGACAGCGGTAACAGTTTTAGGACCGAAGGACTGGCTGCTGTGGACTCCAGTAACTGCCCTCAGGAAGGAAGGAACTTTGAGACTATTTTCTGGCTGGTGAGTCTGTTCTCTGTGTGTGATTGGACCTGTTCTTTTTCACTCCTCTATGGCTGGATATCATGAGGCTGAAGAATGCAGGATTAAGGCCGTCGCATACTATCCAGTCGAAACGTGCCGCGCCGTTTCGCGCATATATTATGCTGAAAATGTGTGCCGTTTTTTGTTCGCTTTGGTGTTCGGCAGGTTTTGTTTTGTCTGTTTGCGCACGCAACATTTTTTATTGGGGCAAGTTGAAGTTCGGTAGCCGACGTCTACGCCCTTTCGTCTGTAATTGGTAAACTGTAGTGTTTTCAAGCGAAGGTCTTTAAGGGAGTATGAGAGCACAGTCGTGTGCTTATGCCTAGCCAAGTTCTGCTAGGACCAAACAGAACCTAGTATTAGTATACGTTACCTTTATCAGGAGGACGTACTTGTGTTGTGTGAGTGTGGGGGGGGGGGGGGGTAATATTCCTGGACACTGCATGTAAGAAAACATTTGTTCTTTCTCTGATGAACTAGAACAAGTGTCACACTCCTGATGACATCATCACAGATGGACACCTACTATGATTATAGTAATTCATTTAAGAGGTGACCATGAAAGAGATAATCCCGGTTTCAGTGAGATGTTCCAGATACTGGTGATGGGTTTAGGTTTAGGTGCTTGCATTTTCTCTTATACTTTCCTTTAGTCCACCTTCTCTCTCTCTCTGTCGCTCTCTGTCTCTCAATTCAATTCAATTTCAATTTAAGGGCTTCATTGGCATGGGAAACGTATGTTAACATTGCCAAAGCAAGTGAAGTAGATAGTAAACAAAAGTGAAATAAACAATAAATATTAACAGTAAACATTACACTCCGAAGTTCCAAAACAATAAAGACATTTCAAATGTCATATTATGTATATATATACAGTGTTGTAACAATGTGCAAATAGTTTAAGTACAAATGGGAAAATACATAAACATAAATATGGGTTGTATTTACAATGGTGTTTGTTCTTCACTGGTTGCCCTTTTCTTGTGGCAACAGGTCACAAATCTTGCTGCTGTGATGGCACACTGTGGTTTTTCACCCAGTATATAAGGGAATTTATCAAAATTGGGTTTGTTTTCAAATTCTTTGTGGATCTCTGTAATCTGAGGGAAATATGTGTCTCTAATATGGTCATACATTTGGCAGGAGGTTAGGAAGTTCAGCTCAGTTTCCACCTCGTTTTGTGGGCAGTGTGCACATAGCCTGTCTTCTCTTGAGAGCCAGGTCTGCCTACGGCGGCCTTTCTCAATAGCAAGGCTATGCTCACTGAGTCTGTACAGAGTCAAAGCTTTCCTTAAGTTTGGGTCAGTCACAGCGGTCAGGTATTCTGCCACTGTGTACTCTCTGTTTAGAGCCAAACAGCATTCTAATTTGTTCAGTTTTTTTGTTAATTCTTTCCAATGTGTCAAGTAATTCTCTTTTAGTTTTCTCATGATTTGGTTGGGTCTAATTGTGTTGTTGTTGTCCTGGGGCTCTGTGGGGTCTGTTTGTGTTTGTGAACAGAGCCCCAGGACCAGCTTACTTAGGGGACTCTTCTCCAAGTTCATCTCTTTGTAAGTGATGGCTTTGTTATGGAAGGTTTGGGAATCGCTTCCTTTTAAGTGGTTATAGAATTTAACGGCTCTTTTCTGGATTTTGATCATTAGCGGGTATCGGCCTAATTCTGCATGCATTATTTTTTGTTGTACACGGAGGATATTTTTGCAGAATTCTGCATGCAGAGTCTCAATTTGGTGTTTGTCCCATTTTGTGAATTCTTGGTTGGTGAGCGGACCCCAGACCTCACAACCATAAAGGGCAATGGGTTCTATAACTGATTCAAGTATTTTTAGCCAGATCCTAATTGGTATGTAAAATGTTATGTTCCTTTTGATGGCATAGAAGGCCCTTCTTGCCTTGTCTCTCAGATCGTTCACAGCTTTGTGGAAGTTACCTGTGGCGCTGATGTTTAGGCAGAGGTATGGATAGTTTCTTGTGTGCTCTAGGGCAACGGTGTCTAGATGGAATTTGTATTTGTGGTCCTGGCAACTTAACCTTTTTTGGAACACCATTATTTTTGTCTTACTGAGATTGCAACGCCAGGGTTGTGGGTTCGATTCCCACAGGGGGCCAATATGAAAAAATGTATGCACTAACTGTAAGTCACTCTGGATAAGAGCGTCTGCTAAATGACTAAAATTACAATTACAATTTACTGTCAGGGCCCAGGTCTGACAGAATCTGTGCAAAATACCTAGGTGCTGCTGTAGGCCCTCCTTGGTTGGTGACAGAAGCACCAGATCATCAGCAAACAGTAGACATTTGACTTCAGATTCTAGTAGGGTGAGGCCAGGTGCTGCAGACTGTTCTAGTGCCCTCGCCAATTCGTTCATACATATGTTGAAGAGGATGGGGCTTAAACTGCATCCCTGTCTCACACCACGGCCCTGTGGAAAGAAATGTGTGTTTTTTGCCAATTTTAACCGCACACTTGTTGTTTGTGTACATGGATTTTATAATGTCGAATGTTTTCCACCCAACCCCACTTTCCATCAATTTGTATAGCAGACCCTCATGCCAAATTGAGTCAAAAGCTTTTTTGAAATCAGCAAACATGAGAAGACTTTGCCTTTGTTTTGGTTTGTTTGTTTGTAATTAGGGTGTACAGGGTGAATACGTGGTCTGTCGTATGGTAATTTGGTAAAAAAAAAAAAATTGACATTTGCTCAGTACATTGTTTTCACTGAGGAAATGAACTAGTCTGCTGTTAATGATAATGCAGAGGATTTTCCCAAGGTTGCTGTTGATGCATATCCCACGGTAGTTATTGGGGTCAAATTTGTCTCCACTTTTGTGGATTGGGGTGATCAGTCCTTGGTTCCAAATATTGGTGAAGATGCCAGAGCTAAGGATGATGTTAAAGAGTTTAAGTATAGCCAGTTGGAATTTGTGCTCTGTATATTTTATCATTTAATTCAGGATACCATCAACACCACAGGCCTTTTTACAATTTAGTCATATAGCAGACGCTCTTATCCAGAGCAACTTACAGTTAGTGAGTGCATACATTTTCATACTGGCCCCCCGTGGGAATTGAACCCACAACCCTGGCGTTGCAAGCGCCATGCTCTACCAACTGAGCTACACGGGGCCCTTTTTGGGTTGGAGGGTTTGCATTTTGTCCTGTAGTTCATTCAATGTAATTGGAGAATCCAGTGGGTTCTGGTAGTCTTTAATAGTTGATTCTAAGATTTGCATTTGATCATGTATATTTGTTTTTTGTTGTAAGTTTGTTCTTTGTTATAGGGCCAAAATGATTGGAGAAGTGGTTTACCCATACATCTCCGTTTTGGATAGATAGCTCTTCGTGTTGTTGTTTGTTTCGTTTTTTCCCAATTTTCCCAGAAGTGGTTAGAGTCTATGGATTCTTCAATTACATGGAGCTGATTTCTGACATGCTGTTCCTTCTTTTTCCATAGTGTATTTCTGTATTGTTTTAGTGATTCACCATAGTGAAGGCGTAGGTTCAGGTTTTCTGGATCTCTATGTTTTTGGTTGGATAGGTTTCTCAATTTCTTTCTTAGGTTTTTGGATTCTTCATCAAACCATTTGTCACTGTTGTTACTTTTCTTCGGTTTTCTGTTAGAGATTTTTAGATTTGATAGGGAAGCTGAGAGGTCAAATATGCTGCCTAGGTTTTCTACTGCCAAGTTTACACCTTCACTATTACGGTGATTTTGTCCAGGAAGTTGTCTAAAAGGGATTGAATTTGTTGTTGCCTAATTGTTTTTTGGTAGGTTTCGACACTACTTTCATTCCATCTACAGCATTTCTTAATATTATTCAGTTCCTTTGGCTTTGATGCCTCATGATTAAGTATTGCTCTGTTCAAGTAGACTGTGATTTTGCTGTGGTCTGATAGAAGTGTCAGTGTGCTGACTGTGAACGCTCTGAGAGACTCTGGGTTGAGGTCAGTGATAAAGTAGTCTACAGTACTACTGCCAAGAGATGAGCTATAGGTGTACCTACCATAGGAGTCCCCTCGACGCCTACCATTGACTATGTACATACCCAGTGTGCGACAGAGCTGCAGGAGTTGTGACCCGTTTTTGTTGGTTATGTTGTCGTAGTTGTGCCTAAGGGGGCATATGGGGGAGGGAATGCTTCCATCTTTCTCAGCTTTCACATTGGTCCCTTGGCTGGGATTTGACATCAGCTTAATTTAGACTGGCACAGAACTTAACTGCTCTGCAAGGACGGATGAGTAGGCGGGCGTCAGTGGGCAGAGTACACCCTGGTCAGACCAGACAGCCAGCAGAGGACAGGACAAACTAAGTTTATTTTGACACACTCTCTCAGATCTTGACTCACTGGCTGACTCGCTGACAGTTGACCTCGCTCTTGGCTGGTTCCAGAAGGTCATCGATGTAAGCTCCGTCATTCTATTGTACAGGTGGCGAATCAATCGCACACTTCAGAAAATCTATTTATGAAAGATACA